GAGGTCAAGCGCGTACTCGTTGACTCAGGCAACTCAGCCGACATCCTCTTCAAAGCTGCGCTCGACCAGCTTCAGTTGCAGAGAAGCGACCTGAAGCCTATAGACACTCCTTTGGTGGGCTTCAGCGGAGAAGAGGTCCGTCCCCTTGGGAAAATAACAGTACCTGAGGAGGTCGGCACGTGGCCTTGTGTGGTCAGTTTCAAACATGACTTCCTGGTGGTCGCGACCCCCTCCCCCTACAATGCCATAATAGGTCGACCAATCACCCATGTCCTGCGGGCGGTGGTCTCCACCTACCATCTGGCTATGAAGTTCCCTACAGACTTCGGTGTGGGAGTAGCGCGGGGCGACCAGCGGCCTCCCCCTAGAAGTAGATGCTATGTCGCCAGAGGCTTCCCGAGCCTCCGGGATCTGCTCCCAGGCTCCCCCCAAGCTCGAGGGAGAATCATCATCCTGGCTATCGCCCCTGTGATAGGTGTGGTATGGGTACCCAGACATGGCTGATAGCGATTGGGACTCACTAGAGTAGACGGAACGAAGCAAACTGAGGAATTCGGGTAGACTAGGTGAAGTGCGCGACCTCAGAATCCAAAGACAGCAAGATGGCGTGGGAGAGAATGAGGCCCGAGGGGGCCCCCTATTTATAGTCTCCACCCTTTCAAATTGACGGCCCGGATCAAAGCAGATCCAACGGCCCGCGGGCGCCCTGACCGCACGCCTTCTGAAAACCGAAGGCGATTGGCGGCACGTCTTCCATAATTAAGGTAGTCGCAGCCGCACGACGTTCGGAGTTAAAAGCCACCTCAGCACGTTTTCGAAATCCAAAAAGTCAGGAAAGTCAGAAAATCTCTTGATTCCCGCAAATGCATTTAATGAGGGCAGTCAATCAAGTTTGAATTTCGGTCAAATCAGTCCCTAGCGCTTCATAAACTCCCCGCGCTAAGGCGGTACTCTTAGCTCGAGGAGTGGGGGGCAATTGATGAAGGATGATTTGACCCAACCTATGAAACGGTGACACATAGACGCTGACTTAGCATGAGCGACAGCCCAGCGTTGAAGCCCG